ACAGCTTAATATTAACTAGACCATGGAACATGTATTATTAATTACAGATATTATGTGAACATTGGTACATTCCAAGATGTTTGGTTAGTCATGTCAAAAACGCTAGAAATATGTATTTAATATTTTACTACAGAATCAGCATATGTTTATTAACCTGAAAATAACCCTGCATGCAATCAATAATCAAATGATGGATTAAATGTTATTATTAATGATTTACAGGGCTTTTTCTACGAAGCTGTGCCAGGGCAGTGTTGTGGAAAGTGTGTACAACAGCAGTGTGTATATGACAACACAGATCCACCAAATACTGTAACCACAATTGAGGTACGGTCAATAGGCTGTGATTAGTATTTGAATTCTAACTCTCACACACAAAGTTAATTATGATTCTTGGTTATGGATTGGTTCCTCCTTGTCTGTGTCCCATACTCTCTGAATATTTTCATCAGGTTGGACAGAGCTGGACTCATCCAAATGATTTGTGTGTGACCTTCAATTGCACTAAAGTCAACAATGTCTTTGTCTTGGTGAAGATACCCCATTCATGTCCTGAGTATAATCCAGAAGACTGCATTCCTGTATGTTTACCACCTGTGGCTAACCTTGCCCTTACATCATATATAGATGCTTACTTATGGTTAATCGAATACATTTTTCAGAACTTTATGAACTTTACTATTAAGAAATAGCAATTAGTAAGTAAAAATTATTTTAAAAATTTTGCGTCTTTTTTAGGGCACAGAGAAAACCACATCAGATGGATGTTGCAAAACATGTAAGATGATTAATATCCTTACTCTCTATTTTTCCAGCTCTTACCAAGATTACTTTATCATACCAACACGTACAACAGCACGCCATGAAGTGTCCTATTTCTCTTACACCACAGTGATTTGCCATCACTTGCATTTTTTTCTTTATTAATGAACAACACACCATAATTTGTAACCATTTATAGTTACACTTAATGTTGTGGGATGTCCATTACACAAGTGAGTTCCTGTTATCACTTTTATTATTACATAAACAGTCGTCCCGTCACCAGACTCTTTCATCTCTCTCTTGAAGTTATTAAGACAAAAATGCAGTCAAGTTACAGAGAAACCATAAAGCACAAAGTCCTCTGTGCTCTCCAGTGGTGGAAAACCTATGTTTTACAACACACTGACACACTGTCATGTTTTCTTAATCCATTTAGAATTAGCGTTAGATTACGTAGATTGTCCTCCATATAAGTCCCAGTGACTGAGTTGTTACTACAGAAACAATAATGTATTAGTAAAAATATCAGTATCATATTGTTCTGAATCTTATAATAAAATAAGAAGATTCAAAGAACATTGTTCAGGCCACTGTTTCAGAATATCAGTACATGTTTATATAGACATATAATAATACAATAATATAATACACTATTTGCAATTAAATAATTTACAGCAATTTTATGTAAACCTTTCTACCTTTTGAGTGATATGTATCTTAATATGCATGTATATATTTGATTAACCTTTATTAAATATGAGTACATTTCTCTGTATTTGACATTCAGGTCAGCTGCATGACTGCCGCGTGTTAAAGAACAGCACCTACTTGAAGGTTAATGACTGTATCTCCATCCAGCCTGTGGAGGTAGCCTCCTGCTCCGGATCCTGTGGCACCAGCTCAGTGTGGGTTTGCTTACTTATAAACACACACACACCTTAAATATAGATATAGTAATAAGTAGAGAGACTAGAGTTAAATCAAGAGAAGAAACAGGAAGTGGAGAATGATGTAGTTCTCACACCACATACAGTCACATAGACAAAAACAGACTTTTCCAGCAATATTCTTTTAATGGTCGATTCTCCCTTCCTTGTGCAGGTATTCAATGGCGGCGAACAAAATGATGCACCACTGTTCCTGCTGTCAGGAGCACCGAATGAGCAGCAAGGAAGTGCAGCTGCGCTGTGCTGACAATAGCCTGAAACCATACAAATACACTTACGTCGAAGAGTGTGGCTGTCATATCACAGAGTGCACAGACTAAAATTAATCTAAATAAGAATAATTTTAAGATTAATTAAATGATTTAATATGAGCCTGCTAAGCCAGATATACACCTAAGTGTGCAAATGAATACAACCAAATTTGCTGAAGCTCATTTGATGACAGAATGATACTATTTACCATGTCTTACTAACTCAAGCAAAAAGATTTTCTCTGACTTGTTGCAGACTGCGGTTCTGCAACACTTCATACTAACTATTATTATAGCTTACAGTATTTAAATAGAGCATGAAATATCAAAGGATATAATTAATTAACTCCTTTGTGTAATGTCAGAAATATGCTTAATGGCATTACTTAATACACTTAATAATACTTAATAATGCTTAATACATTGTATGATTCTGTGTGTAGGAGAACAGGTTTCTGTGTTTTGCCATCCAGTTGAGGATATATAGGACATATATGCTTTCCTTTCCTGCATGCTTTGTCTTTCTCCGGTGTCGATGGCTATAAATTCTTTCTTTTTATAATTAATGACAGTAATAAAAATTAATCATATTGCAATCAAAAAAGGTGTGCTGGCTTGTGTGCTAATTATGAAGGTTCTTATATTTTCATATATTACAAATTTTACATGATTTTTTATAGACTTTATTTTATTTAATACTAACTCAATGTTCTTAACGTCAATATGCTACAGGAAAAATTCAACTTAAGATCACTCTGAAAATCGATATTACATTTGCACATTCAAAACACACAAATTTGATCATGCTTATTTACTAACTAGCTGATTTACTGACAGTACTGCGGGTGGAAAATGAGCAATATAATATGTATTGTCCGTTTTGTGTATTGGCCTTAATGAATATGTGATTTCTACTTTCTACCCAATAGTGCAAAGTACAGGGCCATGTCAATGCAAATAGATTCATTTAGTATTCATAGTGTGAGTCAACATTAGTCTACTAAGTCAGATAGTCACTTATGTGCACAAATGAACCAAATTTGACAAGTTTGCACGTTTTGCACATGCAAACCTAATATCGATTTTCAGAGGTTTCTTAAATTGGTTTTATGCAATTCATAGCATATTGACAGTAGTGTTGGCTGTTGAATGCTTAATTCTGATTGGTCAAAAGGTGTTGATTAATTTTCAATAACAACAGCCCTGAGAGTAGTAGGTTTATAATGCGCCATCGTTTCTATAGTAACAACATATATACTATACGTGGACTTGTCTGGGGGACATTCCACATAAACAGATTAAAAAAAAAAAAGTGTAATCATTGATATTGTGAAGCTTTCTATGAGTAGATTTTATTTAGCATTTTTTTGAAGGAGTCTCCAGTGTCGATGCTTTGTAACAGTCAGAGGTGAAGCTGTAACTTTTGTAAAGTTTTCTGCCTCTGTCTTCCTGACAGTGGACTTGGTGCATGACAAGCTGCCTTATTTTTTGCCTTAGTTAGATCGAGAGAGAGAAAAAGAGAGGCCGATGAGGAAACAACTGTTTGCCATAACATACGTAGTAACAATTTGTTTTGCAGGCACTCCACAACATTAAACTTAAATATAAACGAATAAAAAGTACAATGTGTCATTCTGTAATCAATTTTAAAAAGTTGTTTTCATTGCCAAATTGCTGTGGTACAAGAGGAATAAAACACTCTGGGACTTGCTTTTATTAGAAATTGATTCATTGAGTATTAGTTTACAGTAACTGCACATTCTAAAGTGTTTTATATAACATAACAAAATTTTTATAATGTGCCTGCACAATAATAAATGCCACAGCAAAAAAGATGAAATTTTAGCAGCTTCTGATTGGCCAGTTGTCATAATTAGATATGCCCTTTTCTCCCTTGAGCCCCAAAAAAATGTCAAGCAACTCAGTCCAGATCTCAGAAAAAATTGTGGACCTCCATAAGTCCCGTTCCTCTTTAGGAGCAATTTCCAAACAACTGAAGGAGCCATGATCATCTGCACAAACAACTGTAAGCAAATAGAAAAATCTGTGGACCACACAGACACTGCATCGTTCAGGAAGGTGGCACAAATTAACTCCCAGGTATGAAAAAACTTTGGCCTGAAAGGTTCATCTGAACCCCAAGACAACAACAAAGAACTGGTGAAGAAGTTGGAGGCATCAGGAACCAGAGTATGCACATCCACCATTAAGAGAGTCCTACATTTCCCACAGAAGATTTGTGGACTGAACTGAAAAAGCGTGTCTGAGAGAGGAGGCCCACAAACCTGACTGTGTTACACCAGTTCTGTCAGGAGAAATGGGCAATGTATTGGGAAAAGCTTGTGGAAGGCTACTCCAAGAATTTCAATTCATGTTAAGCAATTAAAGGGCAATAGCACCAAATAATAAGAAAGTATACGCAAACTTTTGACCCACTGAAAATAACTGCACTGTAAATTAAAGCAGGAATAAATCTCTTAGCTGAAATGGGAACTTGTGTAAACAAAGTACACTAAAAATGTACCTTATATAAATAAAATTCCCTAATTGACTTAACACAGGAAATGTATTGGAACTTGGAATGTGTGGAATTTGAGTTTTGATAAAAAGTTGAGTTTGAATGTCTTTAGCCTAGGTGTATGCAAACTTTTGGCCTCAGCTGTATATGCTTGTGGCATATCAGGTACTATGACAGGTAACACGTCGTTGTTCTTCTTTCAGCTGCTCCCGTTAGGGGTCACCACCAGATCATTGGTCCACGTATTTGATTTGGCACCATTTTTATGCCGGGTGCCCTTCCTGCCGCATCCCAACCCAATTTTATCCAGGCTTGTGACCAGCACTGAGAGCACACTGTTGCGCGCAGCCTAGGCTGCGGTTGGTTCCCTGGCCAGGAATTGAACCTGTGCCACAGCGGTGAGAGCGCTGTGGTCTAACCATTAGTCCTCCAGGGACCCTGACAGGTAACATGTGCATATGCATTAAACTAGTGGATGCCATGACTTAGCAAAATTCATTATAATTAGCATAATTTGGGTCCCTGAAGGACTAGTGTTTTGGCCACTGCAGTCTCACTGCCATGGCCCGGGTTCCATTCTCGGCCAGGGAACCAACCCCAGCCACTGGGCTTGCACACGACAGTGCAATCCCAAGCCCAGATAAAAATTGGGCAGGGTTGCATCAGGAAGGGCATAAAAACTGTGCTGACTCAAATATGCGTAACAATCATCCGCTAAAGGGAGTAGCCGAAAAGAAGAAGAATAACAACAATATAATTAGCATGTTCAATGTAATTGAACAGCTATGTGAAACAGACAAAACAATACAGTCTTAGCCAAATTAGTCATTACCAAATATGTTGTATCTTTGACTGCTACCTGTCCAGAAATTAAGATATTAAGATATGCAATCAGTTGGATTGAATACTCTGAACTTTGATAAAGTAATAAATTTTGATATACAAACCTATGAATAATATATGGCTAAAAGCGGTCATAAGTGAACATATAATTCATCAGGTAAGTGCTTCATCCTGGTCAGCGTCATGTTGGATCCAGGGCCTATCCTGGATGGGATTTTGTGAAATGTAGACCATAAATTGGGATATAAAGTGTGAACTGAATGTGTGAATGACTAACAGCGTTGTCATGCGCTGGCCTCCCCCTTTAGCAGAGAAACTCTGTCACTTAGCAGTAATACGTTTTCAACTCGGTTTTTACATCAAACCATTTTCTTTTGACCTTGCTTATATTGCAATGGATAGATGACACCTGTAATTTCTTTTCATATTTTGGCCTTTTCTGGTGCTGTGACGATGAATACACTGCTATATATTTTTTTTTATTCCTGTAGATGTAAATGAAAAGACCTTCAGAGAAATGTTTCTTTTTTTGGCCATTTTCACGTTCTGCCCTGCGAGCCTGGTCTTTCATGGAGTTTTGTGGGCATCACCAAACACAAATCAGCTGTGGCGTGCACGTAACCGGTAATTTACGGGCGATTGCCATACGGGTGACACGTGAGAATAGGGAGAAAATCAGTGTTTACGAAACTTTTTGTAAATCCAGAATAATTTTTTTGTTTGGTTTGGCTTATGTGAATGTTTACTCAACTTTACTCCTCTTGAACCCTAGAGGATAAGAGCATACCAAATACTCTGTGTTGTCTCTCTCTCTCTCTCTCTCTCTCTCTCTCTCTCTAAGCTAATGACCCTGATGTTCATACTGAAGATCTTTCCAAAACACTGCTTGACTCTATAGTACACAGTTGTAGAAGAGTAAATATTTATATTCTCACTATCCGGTTTCACCCAGAAGAGGTACCATGGGTTCGTTCCCTTTTGCGTCTGGTTCCTGTCAAGGTTTCTTCCTCATGTGGTCTCGGGGAGTTTTTCCTTTCCACCATCACCTCTGGCTTGCTTGTTAGGCTTGACAAATCTAAATCTTTATCTATATCCGGATATCTGTAAAGCTGCTTTGTGACAATACCCATTGTTAAATAATTTGGAGTGTAGATGTCCATAAAATCACAATACAACACAACACCACTGAGGATGAGGACGTACTGAGGTACTGAGGACGTATACTGAGGATGTAGCCTTTTAATTGCTGTTTTTTTGTTTGTTTGTTTGTTTTGTTTTACTTTCTTTCTTTTTATTTATTTATTTATTTTTATATTTGGTTATTGCATTTACATTGGGATAGCTGTTAGTAGATGTTATCTCTATATGTCACTGGAGCTATCATAAGAAATTCAGTGTGCAGTTTTCCATGTGCTGGTGTGCAAATGGCAAATAAAAGACTTTGACTTTTTTTTTTTTTTTTTAGCTCAAATACTCATTACTACGAATTCATAATCTTATCTCAGCTGTTTTGTTAGTGTTCAGAATACTCACAGATGCCAGAGATGTAAAACAATTGGAGTATTGAGTGAGCTGGACTTTAATTTTGAAGAGTGAGCAGTACCGATGTGTCTGACTTCAACAGCCACAGTGTCTGGAGATGGAGGAAAAGTTGTGGAGTGCAGGGGCTGACCCATGAAGCGCCGGGGTTCGCGGTGAATAACTCTGTAACTACTGACATTTAAGTTGAGTTTACTTCACTGCTCACAGTAGAAACCTTGAGCTAACAGCTTTATTAACGGTGGAGCCACAGGCAAGTATATTTCATATCACCGGCACGCCGCTTTCTCTCACTTTCTCTCCTGCATTGCTAGCCAGCTAACTTCTTCACTCCGTTTCCAGGGCGCTAGCTAGATGTCAGGTTGCTAACTGGGTTGAAAACTGGTGGTTATTTTAGTAATAAAGTTATCTGTTCGAATACTAGTACATGAGTTATTACATTCCCAGAATTCCTCATCGTTTGGTAGTTAGCTTCTGCTCGAGTTTGCTAGCTACGCAGCTAGCTTAGGTGTCTGTCTGGAACAGCTATCTGCCCCTGTCAGGTACATCTGTTTAACGTTTGTTTGTTTGGTTGGTTGGTTTTTCTTCTGTGTAAGAGATTAATTAGCTAAGTAGAGAGGGACCCTCCAGAAACCAAGCTCTTGTTTCTGACATTGTATTTGAGCTAGATAGGTTTCAGTGTAAAATTAAGTCTACCTACAGGGTTGCCAGGTCTCTGCAAAATGTTCATCTTAGTTACATCTCAAAAGACACACACACACTGAAAGTAGCCAAAAAAAAATGCAGGCATTGAAAAATGAACACACATTTTACTTCAAAATAGTTCAGCACTGAAATATGCCTTTCCATCATCGCTTGGTACAGACATTATCGATTCCATAACCGTCCCCTTCCTCTCCCAAATGTTTTGCAAAATATCTTACAAAAAAAGACATCTGTTCTGTACATCACTGATACACTGCCTGCTTGTGCACTTTCCCTTTGTTTGCCATAGCCTGGGATTGCAGAAATTGAGTAGATTCATATCTAGTTATTTGCTTTGAAACAAGATCTTGGTGGTCGCAGGCTATTTTTAAACTAGCCGAAAAAACCCTTAAAAACTGCAACCCTGGATAGCAGTCACACTCGGCTCTGTCTCCCTCTCTGTCTCCCTCTCTGTCTCTTTTCCTGTAACTTGAACAAAATTTCATTAAAACACTGATTTCCCCAACTGATCAGAGCCCATTTTAAAAGCACAATTTACATTTTCCCTTTTTCTTTTTCATTATATCCATTTTTTAAAATGTAGTCATGGCAGCCCTGTCGGAGGAGGTGCTGCTGGTGGTGAAGAGGGTCCGGCAGAGAAAACAGGATGGTACGCTTTACCTGATGACCGAGCGCATAGCCTGGGGCCCAGAAGGAAAAGATCGCTTCACCGTCAGCCACCCGTACGCCGACATCCGTTGTGAGTGACGCCTAAAGCTGACCAGCCTTTATCCCTTTAACTATCTTCAGATGCAAAGCTGGTGCTATTAGTTGTATGCAATGTTTTAAAAACCTTTTGAACACACAGGTCAGAAGATCAGTCCAGATGGCAAAGCAAAGATCCAGCTTCAGTTGGTATTACACACAGGAGAGAGCACCACCTTCCACTTTGCTAATGAAAGCACAGCTCTGAAGGACCGGGATGCTGCTAAAGACCTGCTGCAGCAGCTTCTGCCCAAGTTTAAAAAGAAGGCTAACAAAGAACTAGAGGAGAAAAACAGGTGAGTCTCTTTAATCTCTTTTGAACAGTAGGGAAGAATGGTGCTGAGCATGAAGTGAGGCATGCCTAGGGAGAAATCACCCGTAATACAAACAAACGACAAAGTGATGCCTACTGGTGAAAGAGCACCTCCTAAGCATGCACAAAGTCTTGCAGTAATGCAGCTTAGCCTTTACAGCACATCAGCTTCCACAGGCACAGAGTAACTCCTTTGCCTTCCTCCTTTTATATACGTTTTCTTTCAGGTCACTAATGTGAAACAACTGAGTTTCACAAGCTGCTCGTTAAATTTGTGTCTGCAATTGAATTTGACAGAATATTGCAGTAACACGTCAGTTAAACGATTTATATGAAGCAGCAACTGAGGCATATTTATCCACAGGATGGCATTACTGATCCTTTGTGTCACTTTATGTCCTCATTTGTACTATATACACACTATGTATCATGATATATTAACCAGCTGCCAGCAAAACAGTAGTGTTGCATTAATAATAAACTAAATGCATTTTACTATTTTAAAGATTCAGTAAAAAGTTTTCAAATCAAATCAGCTGCTTCAGAGTTTCTCAGTGTTGCTATTATTAAAAAAAAACAGAAAGATACAACAATACCTGTGATATCTCTGAAAAGTGTATTTTTACATAATTTTTGATTATATCCATATTATGTTGTTATTTTGCAAGAACAAGAACAAGAACAGCACAATGTAGCCATGATAACGGTTTGGCCAGACAGTATTAGAAGTGCTGTATCAATTCATTTCATTCCTCTCCCTCCTTTTCCCCAGGATGCTGCAGGAGGATCCAGTACTGTTTCAGCTCTATAAAGACCTGGTAGTGAGTCAAGTTATCAGTGCAGAAGAATTTTGGGCCAATCGGCTGAAATTGAACTCTGTAGATCACTCCATATCCAATAACAACAAGCAGGACGTGGGAATATCAGCAGCTTTCCTGGTAAGCTCAAACGCACAGCCAGGACTTCATTGTCTGTTTATGTCAATAGTTTGGTACAAAATGGACCCTGAACCATCAATATGTTCAGTTAGGGAATGAGTGTTTTGATGAGATTTTACTGTGATTATCAGTTCTCAACATAACTCTCCTTTTCCCACCAACTCCATAACAGCCTGTATTAATGATATAAATGCTTGGATGACCAGTAACTTTCTCAAACTCAACGCTGATAAAACAGATCTACTACTTGTCGGTTCTCCTTTCTGTGCTGATAATGTCAATGTTGCTGGGAACTTAGTTCGACCTTCCACCACCGTTAAAACCCTGGGTATAATCTTTGACTCCTCCCTCTCTTTCCTGCCTCACGTTTCTTCACTCACTAAATCTGCCTTCTTTCACCTCCGTAATATTGCTCGTTTTCTTAAATATCAATGACGCTGAGACACTGGTTCATGCCTTCATCACTTCTCGACTCGACTACTGTAATTCTCTCTTCTATGGTCTACCAA